TTTCCAATATTTTGTTTGCTTACACCTAATGGACAGAATTTTGCCAAACTAAAACTATAACCCAGTACCCTAGATATATCCTGAGAGATTCTAGATAGGACCCAGTACCCTAATAGATATATCCTGAGAGATTCTAGGATAGAACCCAGTACTCTAATACAGGGCTTTTCAACCAGTGGTACGGGTATCACCTGTGGTACATTGGCACCTGGCAGGTGGTACGCGACCATCCTAGAAAAGTGGTAGCGGGGGTTGGGAATGAGGTGAACCGGTGGCAGCACTGCACAAGCCTGAGCGAGAGATGGCTGGAGCTGCAGGGCTGTCAGGGCTCAGTGGAAGCGCCAGGCTCCAGCTGGAGCTCGGTGCTGATCCTGGTGCTTCTACTGAGCCCAGAAGAAGCGCCGATCAGCTGGAATGTTGCAGCATCTCCAGGGTCTTGTGATTTACATTCAGATGCTTGGCAACTGATTCATAGTTATGACGGTCACAGTGTCCCAGGGTTATATGAAGTGACCAAAACCTGCTGCAACCACCCAGCAGACGGGGGGAATAAAACCCAAACACCCCCCACCCCACCCCCACTGCCAATCCTCAACAGAAATGCTCACAACAATGAAAACCTCGGACAGGAGGAAGAACGCGGCCGGGCAGGCAGGCAGGTGTCTTGCTCGGCTGTGGCTTGGGGGGCACTTTTTTCAGTGCCATTGTAACTTCGAACAGTCACTAAGCGAACTGTTGTAAGTCGAGGACTACCTGTACTTTATCACTTTTTTCCTTTTTTTTTTTTTTTTTTTTTGGTCATCAAGTTTTTGACACCTTGCTAGGCGACTGGTGGTACTCGGATGTTGCCGTATCCTAAAAGTGGTACAATGGGTGAAAAGGTTGAAAAGCCCTGCTTCTGATAGATATATCCTGAGAGATTCTTCCCTCCCTGCCTAATCCAGTTCAGAACTATATAGTCTCTTAATTTGAGCTTCTCTCTGGAATGTACTGTCTCCTCCCTGGAAAAGTTGCTCTGCTGTCAAGATTTTGCTATATTGTCTTTGGGCTTGGACCTGTCAATATATCAATAAACAGTATCCTCCATTACTAGATACCATCCTCTACTCTTCCATATGAGTACTTGTCCTCCTTAAATATTTCTGTTACTATGTTTTCTTCCCTTTCATATACTCAATTTTAAAACTGTACACCAGCAGGATGAAACTACAATATACACATTTCTTTTGTTGAATTTCCTGTAGCCATTTCAGTGCTGCAGGGTCAATTCTGAGTTCAAAATAACATGTGAACCTAGCCCTACATATAGTGATGTAGTTCTCAAGGGCATATACGTTCTTTCTCCAACCCAGACCAATGAGTAGTTTGGTAGTTTGGGTAATTTCATATTCAGAAATTCCACCAAATGAGGAGCTTGCTCTGTATTAACTTCAGGTGGTGACTCACTCTGAGGCATCAGTTGTTAACACAATCGCTTTGTCCAAAATTGAAGTTAATGGAGGATATCTACTATTTAATGCTGCTCAGATGCTATCTGTAATTTGTCAGACCACACTAGATTTGGTTGTGAAATATCCATTCCTTGAAGATCCTGAATATAACACTGTTAAAATTTGCCTGTATTTGAGCACAAACACTTGGTAGTAATTAGCTAGCCCCAGGAAAGATTGCACAGTACATGATTTTCTTTATACGTACAGACCAATCATGGATTGTCTGTGCTTCAGCTTCCAAAGATTATCTGATCCCATAGTTTTTTCATTCTTCCAGCAAGACTATTTGGTTTAGACCACTTTGGCATTTCTTTTCTTGATAGCAAGTTCAGAAATCTGATCTTAACATTACTTCTAATGTTCAAGGTGCTGTCCCAGTTGGCTGAAAATGTTAAATGTGCAATGGCAAAATAATTTAAACCTGTGAGCATCTTATTTCCAGTTTTTGGAATGTTCAATCTTTGGAATTTAAATGGAAACAAAACCATTATCTCTTTTTGCCAAGGGTACCTGTTCATCAGGTCCAGAAATGAAATGCACTTAGTTGTCCCTGGCTGTACCAGCAGGCCTTTGATGTGAACCACAAAGAAGTAATCTGATTCAGGTTTTTTATTTAACTCCCTATAGTCCTTACAGAAATTGACTTCTTCTCTACACTTGGATATTAAGATAACTTGGGAAGCCCAGTCATTTTTAGAGAGTCAAATTAACTCTATTGCCTGCATCTCTTCATCATCTCAGTGGCCTGATTTTGTCATGGGAATCCTGAGTGATGCTCTTAATATAGTCTGTTTTGTGCCTATGGTATAGATGGCCGAGTTAGTAAGTCCTGACTGTTCTGTGAACAGTTGGACATATTCCTTGTGTAACCACCAAGAAATCTCTTTTTGTTGAGGTATTATGGATAGGCATTCATGGGATTTTTTATTCTGCCTTCATGATAAACTCCCAGATATTATCTGAAATTACCATGTCCTGTATCAGATTAGTAGTAAAGTTAAGCACTGTTGGCTCAGTGACTGGATGGGCATGAAGCCTTTCATGTGATAAATCTGGGTTTCTGGAAATTCTGTGATATAGTCAAGCGCCCCACCTTTGTTTTACTATAATAGGGACCTCCTAGGCTGTTTGGTCTTCTTGGTGAGCACGATCTGAAAATCAATTCCTGATTTCAGACTCAAAAGTTCCCTGACATGTAACTCATATGAGAACAAAAGCAGTGACTTGTTGAATTAGACCCCTGGTGCATCTAGTCCAGTCGTCTGTTCTCACAATGGGTAATCAATTATACAAGAAGCCTACTACTCTCAGAGGATATGGCTTTCAGAATCAATCACACTGTTATCAAGCTAATAGCCATTGATCCCCCATTATTTCCATTAATTGGTCCAACCTTTTTGGAAGTCAGTCAAGCTGGCAGCCGGCACCACATTTTATGATAGTGAATTGCAAAGTTTAATTACATATTATGTAAAAAAAATCATTTTTTCTGTCCTGATTCTTCCAGTATTCAATAATATTGGGTAATGTCTGGTTTGGTATTTTGGATAAGAGAAAATAACTTCTTCTTGTCCACTTTATTTATACCATGCATAGTATTGTTAAAATTCAATAATGTCCAGTCTTTTTCACCTCCTTTCTAGACTAAAAAGCCCCAAGTGTCACAACCTTTCCACATAGAGAAGCTGCCCCACCCCTTTATCACTTTAATTGCTTTCCACTGAATCTTCTGTAGCTCTACTATATCCATTTTGAGGTACAGAGACCAGGACTGCACACAATATTCCAGATACAGTCGCACCATTGATTTATATAAAGGCATTATAATATTGGCATCTCTATTTTCAACACCATATACCATATCATTTTCATTTGTTTTATTATGTGCAATAATATGTGAAGTCATACATTAAAAGCAAAGTGTCTGCTCTATGGACTATGGAATAAAGAATGGGTGATGTCATTTACTTCTGTAAATGAACTTATTTCATGGCAAATCAAGATTCCTTGAGGAAAAGTTGAGGATCACCAATATTTTTGGCTGCAACTGTAGTTTTCTCTGCTCCTAATTAGCTGGACTTACTTCATATTACTAGAGTGTCTAGCCATTTATCACAAGGTATATGGGGAAATGATAAATTCTACTGTTTTAACCATTTGTTTCTTCCATTATTATTTTTTTTTGAACAATGAGGAACATGACTTGATTCTTTCCTTTGCACGTAGTTTTTCAATTTCTTCTGTCATTAAAGTCATAGATTTGGCTTTTATCCCCACACATATTTACTTAAAAACATTTTGTGCTACCCTTACCAGTGGATGATGATCCAATATTCTGTCATTTAGGCATGGAATGCTTCTTGAAAAGCCTTCACAATTTTTACCTTAAGTTAATCACTAGTTTTCAAGTAAGTAAGTAGTTCTTGCTGTAAGTAGTTCTCATGAAATGATCCTGAATTTCTGTTGTTAGTTTTGTTCACTTAATGTAGCAATTTGATGGAATTCACGTGAGCATGCTGAGTTAGCGATCAGTTCCTTGCTCATTGGTGTGCCATATCTTGATTTCTTAGTTATGAGTTGACATTGCATATTTTCTTCCAGTTTTAGACTTTGACTATTTTTAATTTCTTCTACTATCTTTTTACCCCAAACTCTCCCAAGGATCTGGAGCACTCCTTCTACACTTTATTTATGCAAAGGTCATTATTATGTGGATTACACTAAGTCAGGGCAGATGCAGTCTTTATCCAGATATTTTTATCTGAATTTCTCTTCTGATGAGGTACTTGTTCTTCCTCTATAAAATAAGATTATTGCTAGTTATCTATTTTTATTAACACAGAGATGACTATTCAAATAGTTAAAATTACACATAAGCAAGTTTTCCTTCCATTCTACAACTGGTTAGCATCAAGTTCCCCACCATTTGAAATAAAGAGGATGGATCCAAGGCAAAGAGGTTTTGTGTGCTGCCTGCATCCTGTGGATGGGGCTTTCCTTCTTTGTATGGACCGGTTGCTGGCATGCCGCGGCCTGGTACTGGTCCATGGACCAGGGGTTGGGGGGCCCTGCCCCAGGGCTTTATGTTGTTATTTTGGCTTGTGTATGTCTTGTTTTAAACTATCTTAGTATGATTGAAATGTATGTTAATTTCAGCTTTAATATTTTGTTATAAAAGGATGTTTATGTTTTTATTAAATTGTTCTGTTGAATTTTGAATTGTTTGAATTGTTTGAATTGAATTGTTTAGATTATATCTTGCTCCGAGAACTCTGAATATAATCTGACCAATAAATAACATCATGCATACTTATTCAGAAGCATTTTTTTCTTACAGGACTTGTTTCTGGAGAGAAATGTTATAGCCTTAGGCTTCAAATTACGTATAATGTAAATAAAGACCCTGATGATTTTGAATTTTTAAAATATAGTGCCCAAACAACCTGAATTTTGTGCCTATTTTTTCTTTACAGTGTTTATAACTTATTTGCTTGTTTGGTTTTGCAGTCATTACATGAGACAGATATTGGAAGCACTGCGCTATTGTCATGATAATAATATAATTCACAGGGATGTGAAGGTAAGTTATATTATTACAGATAAATATTTTCCATGTTGGCATTTGTATTATTTATTGTCGTTTAGTTTCTCTGTTTTACTCAGTCAAGGTCACCTATTAATTTGGAATTTTGGATAGTCAGAATCCAAGACATTATCAGTAAAACAATTGAACCATTTCATATGGTAAATTTTAGTTCAGAAGTGCACACACATAAAATATAATAGAATATATTTTAGTGTAATATAGTTATATACACTACATTTTTTCTTTTTCTTTTTTAACCTTGAAATTCCTATAGCCACTTCACATTTAGAATGTGAAGTGTTTTGAATTTGAAATGCCGATTTTGAGCTCTGTTTGAATTCAAAACATTTTCCACAACCCTTAGTCTGAGAGGTAGAAATGTGTTTTTGTATAGATGGTCTGTTTGTTTGTTTCTTTGTGTGTTCTATTATTGAATCCAGATCTGATGCAGTCAGTAATTCTATTTTTTTATCTGTTTACTGTTATCTGTATCATTTTATAAATAATGCTTGGGTATAATATAGTTGAATAATCTATATAAAACTATATACTTTGTAACTGTGTATAGCAGTTATAATTACGAAACAAGTACGGTACAGAAATTGAGGTAAATAATTTACAACTTAAATGTAAAAGCATGCAGAATATAGATAAATACTATGTAATATAATTACAGGAAAAATTGGATTGTTACAAAAATAAATAATAAAAACAGGAGCATCAGTCACTGACTTCAAAGGGATGACACATATTAAAAGGGGGTGGGGTTTTGGTCACCCAATCATACCATTTTGAAGCCAGTAACCATCACTGTAAATGCCACTATATACAATGTTCAAATAAATTATAGCAAATGATATTGTATGCAGAAGACAAGAGGGCAAGTTGTATTCTTAATAATGTTCAGTCCAGTTTTCAATAATTTCCAATGTGTTCATACCAGAACAAGATATTCTTGAGAAATAAACAAATTTTCTTCAGTCTAATGTAATCATTCCCTGTTTATGTGGGAGTAAGCTCCACTAAAATAAATAGAATCCACTTTGTTTATTATTATGAATCATCTACTTAGTGTTGATTCTTAGTGACCACATAAACAGAACTACTATAAGATGATCAGTCCCCAACCCGTCCTACAGATATCTTCCAATACTGTATCCATCACCATTGTAATTCAGTCCATCCATTTTGCTGCTGGTCATCCTCTTCCTATCTTTTCTTCTATCTTTCTCAGTATTACAGACTTCTCAAGTGAGCTAGTTCTTTGCATAATATGTTCAAAATACGATAATTTGAGCCTTGTAATTTGTGCTTCAACTGAGAACTTTAAATTGATTTAGTCTACAATCCATTTCTTTGTTTTCTTGGCTATCCATGCTATTACTAAAAGTCTTCTCCAGCCCACAAGTTCAAAAGTATCAATTCTCTTTTTATCCTGCTTCTTCAGAATCTAATGTTTTCTTCTGTAGGGTGTCATGGGAAAAACTGTTTCCTGCATGATTCTGATCTTTGTAGATATAGACACATCATAGCATCTGACTATCTTTTCCAAGGCTTTCATTGCCACTTCACCATAAGTTGAAATTTATTTCTTTATATTTAATTATTGTTGTTGTTCAGTGGCTGAGTCGTGTTCACAACCCCATGGACCCCTAGCACACCAGGGTCCCCCTGTCCTCCATCAACTGTTAATATAAACAATTGTTGATAGTTGATCCTAAAATCAGAAAGTATCCACCTTTTCAATATTTTTATTGTCAGTTCTAAGGCTTGCTGCTATACCTGTTACTTTGGTCTTATGTCATTCCTTTGCTGATCTGGAGCATGTTTCTCTATGTTCCATCCATACTATGGTTTTCTGTCCTGCATATAGGTTTCTCCTGAAGAGAATGAGGAGTTCTGAAATTCTCATTAGTCTAAAGACATTCCACAGTTTCATAGTCAGCATAATCAAAGACCTTTTTATAACCAAAGAAGTACATATTCTTTTTTGCACCCTTAGCTTTTTCAGTCATCCAGTGGCATCAACAATAATATCACTTATATCTTTTTTTTTCAATATAAAATTTTATTGTTTTTATCATAAAAAAAAAAAAAGAAATATATCACAGATATTACACAATGTTATAACCCATCCCCCCACCCCCCGGACTTCCCAAACCAACCTAGGCTAATATTCAAATACAAGTAAACAAATATTAATATCTCTAACTCCAAAGTCTAAACTTAAACAATCCATCTCCTCCGTATTAATAAAAATTATTCATTTAGTTAATTCTTCAAATA